ATTGTAGGAAATTAAACCATCAGTCCTTATATCACCTTAAGCGACTAATGGTGACTCAAATTCTTATTTGAACTTCTTTTGTCATATTCAACTTAAGTCTTTTATATCTATCCAGTAAAGTTGAGCATTATTTAGAACTGAATGCAAGAACACTAAATTTATTTATAGGCCCAGAAAAGGCTCCAAACCAAGCTAAAAATAGATACAGCTATTCCTCACAAAGATATATCTGCCGCTATACCAGTCGCACATACGCACACGAATGCCCATAAAGCCAGATCTCGGACAATCAGTCAGAAAGTGAGTTTATGATTTGAGTATTCAAACCTTTTACTCGTCCAGCCCTATATTTTATTGGGACGAAACTGGCTAGATCAATCAGGTCTTTGTATTGCTTACTTGAGGATTTATAGTTTGGGGATAAGTAATTGGTATACTCAGAAAGGCTCTTTATCTCGCTAAATTTCAGGAGTCAAAGTAATGAATGATGTGAGGCTAAAAACTCTTGACACGAGGTGATGTCATAAACAATAATATCCTCCACTTGATGACATTAGGTTTCCGTTCCCTTGATCTATTCACCCATATGAAAAATTGCGACACTATGGTACCCGTGTCCAGACCGTCATCTCTTCTGTATTTATTAAGTGTTCTGCTAACTCATGGGTCTAACTCGTGTTTGGGTTGATTATAAGACTAGAGTGAGGTCGGAATGAAGTTCTTTCTGGGTCGAAATTTACTTTCAAGATGTGTGATAGATTCAAATTGTACTGCGGAATAAGACCTTACAACTTTATTGTGCATAGTTCATTAAGGACCCACAACACGATACTACCTCTTCTAAACTCTTCCGACATTGCCTCGATAATTTAGTTATCGTTTCAAGCTATTATCCAATAAAAAAAGAATTGATTTTGTGCATTTTTCATGCTCTAGCCCTGTCCACTCATCTCGTGTTTCGCGGCCAGCTCTTGAGACACCATCACCCAGGATCGTCCGGAATACAGCAAGATTGATAGAATCTGGCATGGATCGATTGAATTCTTCCCTCGCCTCGGCCACAAACGCCGCAACAACGATCAGCACCACCACGGGTGCAGTGGTTGCTTTAGGCAAAAGTGGTTCACGACCAATTCGGTCTACTTCCAGCCGGCCTATCCGACTTACCTCACGAGGCCATATTTCCCATGCTCCGATCAGACCCTCAGCTCCACCGCCTTGTCAATCCACCAGACTCACTGTTGACGCCTCTTCACCAGCTGAACACTCGATACCGACTTGTGGTGCGCTCTCCCATTCCTCTTCCACAGTCAACACTATCGACAACTTTCGACAGACTGGCGTCGCTGATACTATTATTGCTTCGTCTACCTGTTTGGTGGCCGGACACGAGGTAGCCAGAACCGAGGGAACCGCGTCCATCTCGGGTAGTCGGCCACCTGCCAAAAGCATGGATGAGATGTCAATGCCTAGAGCGATGGGCCTTCTATCAACAGCGGTGGCGGGGTCGGCCCGACCTGCCAGACCACTGGGGACCACGGCATTGAGGGCGAGAGCCGCTGGAGGCTTCAACTCTACCATACAAAGGCGTTCTAATGCTGATAAGGCTCAGACGCAGACAGTTAATACTCATCAACTAAAATCGCCCGAGGAGGGCAATTTGGCTGCTTCTGGATCGACTTCACAACCGGTAGAAGTGGATAGGCTTAAAGGACCAGCCAAGCCTGCTGCGAGGGCTCAAAAAGGAATGAACAATCGGGAGACAGATGTCGTGGAACAGAGTTTGGGGGTAATCTCGCATACTATCCTGCTGGCCAGAACATAGAGGAGGATGTGTGGAGAAGTTACTTATAGATATTATCCTTAAACATTCGATACAATTAGTTTAAGATATTTTGTTTTAAGTAGGTTTCGAGACTACGTCAGCTCTATCCATATCATTGTTAGAAAAGTCAACTACCAGTCCTTCATCACCTTAAACGAACTAGGGTGAGCATAATCCATAGGTTAAGAGATTGCCAATAATTTTTAAATAAAAGCATAGTTACTTTAGGTCGCTTACAATATATTTAAGACGGATAGAGTTCATAGGAAAAGTTGCATTAATATTAATTTCTTATATCTAATTTTGCGATCGTAATAAGGCATTAAACACTCGTGTCGGTTACGTTATGCTTGCTCTACATTCTTGTAGATGCGTGAAGTTGATGCATGAGAAGGAATTTGTTGTGGTCGCAGCTGTTTCTCTACGTAAATAAACCAGCCTTCAATTGTGTAAAGTTGACGCCTGTTTCGGTATGTGGAACTGAGTATTGTGCGTACGTACTGTTCACGTTTAAGTCTTCTCTTGCCCGGTGGTTCTCCCTGCTTCCTCTCTCCCCCTCCTTAAATCTATCCAACAGGGATCGAAAAATCTACTTCACATAGACATTACCACATGAGAGCAAAACCTTGCGACACACTTGACTAGAAAGAGGTTCTAAAACTTCTCGAAAAGTAGGCCTAATTGAAGAACGTATAAGTTTATCTTTATAGATTATTCTCACCTTCAACCTGCTCAGTAGTTCAATCTTTTTCGAACGCTGACTGGTTGGCAGCATCAGAAACCTAGCAAAATGGTTTTCTGCTTCTCATGTTTTAGATATTCATTTCCCCGCATTCCTGTGACAAGTTCTCAAAAGCGCCTGTCTACTAAGCCTGATTAATGAATAATTTGAACTAAGATATTCCTCAATCTTCGTTTTTTCCTTCTCCTGACAGTTAACGCTTATCAAACACTGACTCATTCATTATCGTCGATTTCATAATTCCTACTTTTATCCGATATGTAAGAATAGGAAATAAATTAGGAAGGAACTCTACGTGCGTTCGAAGGTATGAAGGCCAAGATGGTGTGGCCTTTTGTGTGGTCGCAATCTCCTTTCGTTGTATAGAAGTTGTTTGACCTTGTTTTCACAACTTGCTCATATTGGTAGGAAGACTGATAGTAACGCACCTTGTCCTGAGTCCATTGTATGCATAATTATTTCCAGAGTCGGACCGTGTACGTGATACATTCCCAGAGGTTTCGCCGGCATCGTCACTGAGTTTCACCATTCGTAGCACTATAACACAACTCGTCAAAGAGACAAGTGAAGCCGACCCTTTGACCAAACGTGTGCTAAAGAGTTATGGTATCTCCCCTTCTGCCCTGGCCTATACACATTTCCTATCTACTCCAATCACGCCTTCACTGTCACAATATTTTACTTGCTTAATTAAATGTGGTACGGTGTTCCCCTTTTTTTAGCGGCTTTCATGAGAACTCTCCGCACTCCACGCTGGCTTCTCACCGCCCTTCATCATTGTGCTGGGAATGTTGATCGGAGTCTGCCATATTGTTACGCCGTCCTCCTTCCCTAGGTCTTACCCCAGTCTCTCTCTTGCCCCGTGAGATCCGTCTACACTCTCTCTGGTTCACATATTTCACTCGATCTCTGCCACCCCACCTGTGCCAACTTGAGGCGTTATTAGCCCTACCCTGTGTCTGGGTGACTAATTCGAGGCTCAAGCCTCTGAGTAAGTGTCATGGTCAGGCCCTTGTCACATGGGCCACGTCTC